TAGTATTCGTAGATTCATCGACGACGTTAATAATTACATTACTGTCTTCCTGATCATCAAGAAGATTAAGGTAATTGTTTGAAAGATTTTCAAAAAACTTTATTGCCATTTCAAGTTACAATTGAACAAATGTTAATTTATGAATACTGTAGATATTATATGAGTGCCGCCAAAGGAAAAAGGCACTTCGGTAATTATAGGAGCTTACGGATCAATTATCGAGTTCAGCAATAGTTCAGAAACGATGCAGATCGGGCTTTTAATTTTATAACAAACTCCTGAAAATTTCGGTAAAACGTGGATCATTTTTTTTAGGTAATGATAACAATAATTTAGTATGAATCGTGATTGATTTTCAAGGGGTTTGTGTATTACGTTGTATAATTGAAAGCCCGATTTGCATCGTTGCTGAACTATTGCTGAACTCAATAATCGATCTGTAAGCTCCTATAATTGCTGAGCCCTTTTTCCTTGGCAGCACTCATATATTTATTTTGGTGTACTGTTACACAACGTGATCTGTGTGGCCTCAAAAAATTTTCTGTAAGAAATCTAATTAAGCACAATAAAATATTATTGAAACTGCAAATAGATCTAAAATTGTTTTATGTAAAGCCATTTTTGGCTTAATTATTGTCCAGAGTCCAACTATAGTTTTCTTAAATTATAGCAAAGTTTAGTATTGTATGTTCTCACAGAATTAAAATTAATACTGTACCTTATTATTTAAGAATCAAGTTAATTACCAGTTGAGTTCTCTTGAAAGATCAAGTCGAATATTGATTGAATCAATCCAATTATATTAAGATCTAGACGTGTTAAAGTGGCAACGTTTCTATTTTTTTTTTTCAATATAAGCTGATTACATTTATCATTATTAAAAATTAAATTAAGCCGAGTTAAAATTCTTACAATTAAATTCCGTGATGAGAAGATTGACTGTACCAGTATATAAAACTTTGAAATTTTATCAAGTTTTTCCAAATATATATATTTGTTGTAGGTGGATTGGCTTTGAAATTTTTAAAGTAACTCAAGTGGGAATAGAATCTTTTAAGCAAATATTCAAGATTATAAAAACAACTCAACTTAGTATTGCAGTATCTAATTCCTATTTTCTACTTTATCGTCTTTATTTTTTGTTTGATACTATGCAGATAACAGCCACTTCCACATACTAAATTTAAGCGTCTACATTTACGAGAATTGGTTTTTATTTTTGCAATAAAAAAAATAAATAAATTACTGCCGTATGTTCTATTCATTAGAAAATTATTATGGTAAATCTCTAACGAATATGAATTTACAAGTTTGAACTAGAGTTGGGTGCCGAAACTAAATTTCTTGAGCCGAAATGTTTCGGGTTTAGGCTATAACTATCGAAACCCGAAACTGATGCTAGAACCCTAAACTGATGCTAGAACCCTAAACTAATATCTAAACCCTAAACTAATGCCAAAACCCTAAATTAATCCCATTTTTTCGAAACCTAAACTGATACCGGAACCCTAAACTGATGCTAAAACCCTAAACTAATCTCATTTTTTCGAAACCTAAACTGATACCGGAACCCTAAACTAATGCTAAAATCCCAAATTAATTCAATTTTCCCGAAACCTAAACTGATACTGAAATCATAAACTAATGCCAAACTCCTAAACCAATCTCATTTTTCCGAAACCTAACCAAACTAATGCTACTAAATAAAAAAAAGAGGATTTTTAAGATATTTTATTTGATAGGATATGCACTAATCTGTAATATATTATACGTTAATTTGCATTTGACTATTCAAATTGAGAACTGTAGACTTCAATTTATTTTTAAAGATATAATATCTTCAGAAATTGACAAATGTTTAAACATTTTGATGAATATTTATATTAATTTTTTATTACATACTAATGATAAAAACAAATTATCATCTAATTTATTAAATAAAATTTTTAAAAATTTCGAATTTTAAATTATTATAAAAAACGCATGAATTTTAACTACATACATAAAAATTAACAAGTGGATTCCTTAAATTCCAACCTTAAAAAATAATGCATTCAGCATTTATTAAATAAAATTGAATTACTTCAAATATTATAGTAGAACAGGCGTGATTTGATAGCACTATAATATTATCAGAAAGGACCTAAATAAATGTAATAAACGTAAATTATTAAACGTTAAATTTATTAACAAACCCGAATATACAAATAAGCTCTTTCTCTGTTCATTAAGAATGATTAGTTAATAATAAAATTAAAAATTTCTTACTAGAAAAAATTTATATTGGTAAATATGGTCTCTACTGTTTATATAGCATGATTGGAATGACTAAATATTCAGGATTCAGGTTTGTTTGTATTTTTCAAATGCTGAATAATGATAATACTTGGCACGCTAATATATCCTATAAAATTAAACTATAAATAGTTATTAAATTCTAAAATAAAAGTACCGATACCACATTACATGTTTAGATAAACCATTAATTTAGATGAGAGATATTTTCATCATACCTGCTATTTATAGGAATTAACTCTGAGAGTCGGTAATAATTTTTGGCTTAAATCTGTTATACTGTAGTGTTGGTCTTGTACAAAAATTGGACATATAAAATTGCACAATTGGACTATTAGACATATAGAATTTTATATGTCCAATTTTGACAAAAATAATTGAACATTTAGACATAGATGGACCCAACATTACTCTACTATAGACAACTAATCAGATCAAATTATTTAATATCAAAATATAGAAAGCATAACTTAAATTACTTACCAATACTTCTGATAAATTTATATTAATTCGAGACGTAAACTGCCAATATAATAAATATTAATTTATCTTGATTTTTTTTTTCAAATAAATGTTGAGATTAGCCTTGAAATGATCTATTAAAATGTAATTCTCAATACAACGGAAATAAAAAAATATATTCAAAAAAAAAAGACTATTACAACAAAAAACCAATTGATGTTACTTTGACAAAATTTTCTAAGACAAACTAAATGATTTTTTGTTTTGACTAGGCTATAAATGGATCAAAGTACCTTGCATTCGTATTATTCATTTCTGAATACACATATTACCTCTAAATAAATTTAAATATCCATAATAAAATATTTCCGTTGCATTTGTAGTCTTATAAAGAACTTTAACTATGAAAGATATTTTCCAAAAGCTATACAGTAAATAGTGAAGTAAATTATTGATAGGTAGCTACGATTAAAATTTTTATAACCCTTGAAATTTTGATTCTAGTTAATAAACATTTCTTCTAATTCAGCTGGATCATAATCTTCTTCTTGATTAAATTCTTCTAGCCAGTCATTTGAGTCTACCTCAAAAGCATCATCATTTGCTACGTCTACTTCTGTTTGTCTACTTGCTTCTGATAAAAATGACGAATTTGACAAATCTAAAGTTTTTTCTAACTCAAAAAACTTTTCTGAAACAACGTCATTATCATCATCAATGCTAGACTGATCAATATTAGCATCCATTATAGCTTGTTCGAAGGTAATATTATCAGCCTCTTCATAAAGATCTGCATCATATAACACCTTTCTAATGTCTTCAGCTGATTTATTTGCACTATAGCGTGGCAATTCTAGTTTATTGTTAGCAATATAATAGGAACGAATCTGGGCAATTGCATCTAGATTTTCAACTGAGAGATTTACACACCGCTTTCTATAAATCCAACCGCAAGTTGACCAAATACGTTCACAACTAGCTGCATATAGTGACACGGAAAATAATTTGATAGCCAATAATCGAAGATATGGTAAATTTGAATCACAAGTTTCCCACCACGTTTGAGGACTATCAAAATTGAATGTATAAGATGCATTATAAGGTGGTTTTCTAATATGGTAATTACGTAATTGTGCTATGAGAATCTGGCCTGCTGTTCGTTTAATATGTTTGTTTCGTTTTAATATTATAGTGATACTACTGGTTTTCATCATTTGTTGCCATATTGCGGCTGCTGTAGTACTAATTCGTAAGAATTGGCCATCAATAATACCGATACCTATTCAATTCTCATTATATAAATTTTATAAAAAAAAAAAAAAAAAAAAAATAGCACCTAGTGACAAATAGATTTACAATAATATAGATTATACTTGCCTCGATACCCTGGATGTAAATAATAGGAAAGTAAATACTCATCAAAATCAAATTCTTTGAAATGCGAATTAAAAACTTTTACGCAATGATAACGAAACATTTTGTATTCAAATTCTGATATCATTTTAATAGCTGCTCCTAGTTGTGCAAGTCCAAAAAAGCAATCAGCAAGATTCGCATCTCGTCTTTCTAGAATAGTAATCGTATCCTTAACAGGTTTGATAATATTCATTAAATCATAGACATCTTGAAAAATCCTCGTTTTTATAAAATTATAGTTTGAACTGATTCATTCATTACAATATTAGGATTTTCATTAATAATCTTTTAAAAATAAAAAGTAGTTAGCTGCTATAATATATTTAGTTATAAGATAATTATAATGCTGTATATAAATTAATTAAATACTTCTTTCAAACATGATTCAAGTTGATAAATAGAACGAAGCATCTCATATGCTGTAGTCTATGTGTCTCAACATATGTTTTTAAACCTCTACCATTAACCTTTTTTTCTTTAATTTTAGACTCAAGTAAACTTTTTGGTAAATGACTCTTATTGAAATAAGATATTATTACAGTTGACCATTTTATAATTTGTGTTGTAAAGGTGTGCTTAAGTAAGTCTTTAGTAATAAGGTTAAGACAATGCGTAATACATCAAATATTAAAAATATGTGGATATTTTTGAATAATAATTCATCATGCTGCATTAATATTTGACCCTGTATCAGTTACAATAGCGGAAAACTTATAACTTCTAAAATCTTTTAGGATGATCTCAATTTGTTTCGCAAGATATTGGCCCATATGACTTTGATCAGAAAAATCAAGTATTTTCCAAAGTATATTATTTCCACTTGCTGTATGAATAATAAAATTCCATAAAGCTTTTCCATCAGGGCTTGTCCAACCGTCTAAAGCTAAAATAATAAGAATAATAATAAACCAATTAATAATAAATATAAGTTTTATTGTATATAAGTGTTTTTATTTACCCAGAGTTAAATTGTTTTCTTTCTCTAATATATTATAAATCTTGGTATGAACATGTAAAATTTCATTATCTAATAATGTATAAGCTAATGTTTTACGAAGAGATGGATTATAAGCTGGTCGTAGTTGTTGAACAAATTCAACAAAAAAAGGATGTTCTACAAGCTGCCAAGAAAGCCCACAACAAATAAAAAGCTTAATAAGAGAAATATCAGCATTTGCTTTTTGTTCATTACTTAATGCCAAACTTTCAAAATTGCTATCCAAACTTTGTTGATCCTCATTTGCCTTTCTTTTACAATTAGTTTTAGTTAATTCCATTTCACGTGTCTCTACCATATTTCGTACAGCTTCTTTAACATGTGGTTCAACTTTTTTGCAATCAATCAAAATATGCTGTTCTAGAGCAGAAGACCTTTCTCTTTTCCAAGAAACACTACATTTACAAGTAACTGAACGATGACCTGGATCTATTTCTTCTCCTTCTATAAAAAAACTCCAGATTGGAGCACATGGTCTTCTACCTAAATTTTTATTATTCTGGTCTAAGTTTTCAAACTTACTATCCTGACTTGTCATATTGTTATTTAATATTTCAAAGAAAATTAAGCGAAGTATAACAGAAATTTTATTTCTATTAAGAATATTGGTTTAATAAAATATTTAATTAAAAATTTTCAAATTGAATATTCCTGTATTTTGCTAAAAAAACATGACTCAGATATACAAATTGGGTAACTAATCATGAAAGTTGGAGAGCAGCATAAGGCAAGATTTGAATATCGATTGTAGTTTTTATTTTTTTTTTAGTAGACCTTTCTAAGTTCACCTCTTTAAGGATCATAGTGAAAAAATATATAATGTGACTTTAGAGAGTAGCGTTCATTTATAGAGTAAAATATATAGAGCTCTTATAAACTAGAACTAAGCTATACTGATACCGTGCATTTAGAGAATTTATAGTGAAATTCGCATGTACTACTTTTACATTTTAGTTAATACAAAAGAACTCCTGAAACCTACCATTACTATTTTATCATGTTAAAACTGGCTTTGATACCT